CTTTTTAAATGTAAATGATAAATTGTAAGAGGACTGAAATTTTCATAGGGAGAATCCATCATCATGTCATATTACACCAATAATTTTACTTAAGTCTGGTGTGTTCTCTTGAATGAGCATAACTTTTTTTATTTCTCAATGAAATTTTGCCAGTTTGGTATTATTTTGCTTGCAATAGCATGTATTTTCTAAATGTAAAATGATAAATTGAAAGAGTACTGAAATTTTCATAGGGAGAATCCATCATCATGTTATACTCTGTCAATCGGACTGGTGTGTTCTCTTGAATGAGCATAACTTTTTTATTTCTCAATGAAATTTTGCCAGTTTGGTATTATTTTGCTTGCAATAGCATGCACTTTCTAAATGTAAAATGATAAATTGAAAGAGTACTGAAATTTTCATAGGGAGAATTCATCATCATGTTATACTCTGTCAATCGGACTGGTGTGTTCTCTTGAATGAGCATAACTTTTTTATTTCTCAATGAAATTTTGCCAGTTTGGTATTATTTTGCTTGCAATAGCATGCACTTTCTAAATGTAAAATGATGAATTATAAGAGGACTGAAATTTTCATAGGGAGAATTCATCATCATGTTATACTCTGTCAATCGGACTGGTGTGTTCTCTTGAATGAGCATAACTTTTTTATTTCTCAATGACATTTTGCCAGTTTGGTATTATTTTGCTTGCAATAGCATGTACTTTCTAAATGTAAAATTATAAATTGTAAGAGGACTGAAATTTTCATAGGGAGAATCCATGATCATGCCAAATTTTTCTGTTAATCGTACTGCTGTGTTCTCTTGAATGAGCATAACTTTTTTATTTCTCAATGAAATTTGGCCAATTTGGTATTATTTTGCTTACAATAGCATATACTTTCTAAATGTAAAATGGTAAATGGAAAGAGTTAGGACTGGAATTTTCAAAGGGAAAAATTAAAGAGATAAAAACAGTTTCCATTCTCCTGTAGGATAATATATTCTATAAAACATTATGATAGAGAACTTTTAATCCTATTTGTGACAATTATGGAACTTCTTGTCCCATTTCACAACTTATGGGATAAAAAATCCCATGTAAGGTTAGAAATGGGAGTTTTGATTCTATAGGAGAAAAAATCCCACAGAACTCATTTTTCTCCCACAGAATAATGGTGGGATATTGGTTAGGAGAGAAAATCCCACCATAATCCCATGGGATTTCTTGATTTCAGGTGTAACATCTTTTAAACTGGAAGATATTCAGGTGTAAAGGTTAGTCCATGTTGTGCGATTAAAAAAATCCCACCGGATGACATAAATTTTTTCTATGTATCTTTGGAAAAGTGGTTGGCGAAAGTCCGGTCAAATGTCGTGTCCGGAGTTAAATGTCGCACTGTTGTATATGATTTGCAGTATACTAAATGTCTACATAAAAAAAAACATTTCATTGAATTAAGAAACGGCAACATTACTATGCTCTATAAAATATTCCTGAAAGTGTGTCACGTAAATTCATATTAAAAGTAGAGCGATTAATTATATTTCTTCTAATTAAATTCAATATATGAATTTTGTTTCATGAACATTTAGTTTATTCAACAGAAGATTGAGCTCAATAGCCCTCATCTTATACCATTTTAGGATATTAATGACACTTCCTAATTGACTTTCTACAGCTTGAGTATACTCCTTTCTTAATGAGATTTCATGAATATGCATATCGAACTCAGAACGAGGCTAAGGTCGTATCGAGTACAAACAAAGATGGAGGAGAAAAAAGCGTCTGCAATGCGAGACTTGACAAAAGTGCCAAATATTACCTTTGGTTTTGTCGAGAGCTTCATAAAGAAAGGAAGCCAGAGTCTGGGAGAAAAGGAAATATCCAAAGGATATAAATATTTCGCCGAGAGATATGTAACAAACATCACAAGTACGTATGAAAATCTCCGTTTGAACTTTCACTTTGCTTACGTTCACGATGTACGATGGTCAAGTGTTGAAATCTATACACACAATGTAGGGAAAAACAGATGCGTTTAAATTATATTTATGAATAATAATCCTCATAAACTAATAAGTCAACAAAGTTATTAATTTTCCTGAATTAAATTTAGTTCACAGTGCAGTAAATGGATGTGTGGTGAAAGGAAAATGTCACAGGTCACAGCGAAGGAATGAATCCCCTCATGATATTGAGGTAAGAAAAAAATTAATTTAGATAAATAAGATGTATAAATTACATGTATAATTAGTAATTTAAATTAAAAAAAAAAACATATCAAAATTTGTAAATTAAGTGACAGCTAGATAACAATGTTTTGCATCTATACTTTTTCTATGCTGTTTTGTTCACCAAGCTGTGGTACATTTTGTAGCTTTTTCTGCTGGATGGTCCCAGTGTGGACAGCAGCTCTTGTTCGTGTGCAATTGGACAGTCAGGACACTGTGGGCATGTGACTGGGCTGTTATTTTGTCATGCACATTTGAAATCAGTTAACATGACATTTATACCATCTGATGTTTTGAAGACTTCTCTACCTCAGACCTGGCATCTGCCACGAGAAGAGAAGATCTCCGGAAGCACTGCAGACAACCTGGTTGTACATGGTTACGATTCCAAATCACCTCAAGAACAACCCCGTGGATCACGATCAACTTTGTACAATCCAATCAATTCTGATATCCCACCAATCTCTGACCTTTGTTCCAGAGTTTCGGCAGTTGACAAGACTTCTTTGTTACTTACTGTTGTGAATTTGGATGACAAAGTGGACTTGAAATGTACAGAAACAAAGTTTGGTAAATTTCCAAAAGGATCTCCACTTGCTGTGCAACAAAAACTGTCATCCCATTATGTATTAAATATTTTAGATGCTGGTGAATATCCACTTCTTCCTGTTGAAAATGTTATGCAACAACAACTGCATGTGATTCTTGATGAAAAGAAAAGTGGTAGTTTGTCTGCTATATATGTGACAGAAGAGGAGTGCCATCAAATTGAGGAAATGACACGGTTGCAAGGAGAAAGTCCCAAGTGGCATGCCATTCGCAAGGAGAGAATAACAGCATCTGTTTCTGGTGATATTGTGAAGCGTAGAGCAGGTAATGTGTTTAAAAATTCTTATCATGGCTTATGCAGACATATACCTCATTCAAAACCATTTCAATATTTGATATATATTTGCATCAATTTAAATTTACATAAACATGTATTTCCAACATATTTTATATGAAAATGAATTTTCTTTGCACATATATAAATTTTAATTTATGCTGAAATTATTGTATATACTCTGTTTATAGATTTTGGACCTTTAATTAAAAGATTGAAGACAAGAAAAGTCGTCACAGAGAGTATGCGACACGGATTGTCATTCGAGGCAGTCGCTGCTGAAGCCTTTGTACAAGTAAGTGATGTTAATCTATATATCAAATATGTAGCATAATACAATCACTATTATACATGTTCACAAGATTCAGGACATGTAACACAATTTATGCATGACTGATCTTAAGATTCATGTATTTTTTATATCATATTTTAAAAATCTTATTAAATTTCTCTTAAATTGCAGTTGGAAAACAACAATGTCAACATATACCCTTGTGGAATCATTGTCAGTCCTTATGCTTCCTGGCTTGCTGCTAGCCCAGACAGAAAGGTATACAACCCAACTATGAATCCCCCTTATGGTTTGCTGGGGATAAAGTGCCCTGTAAAACCCTTAACAGAGTGTGTTTATCTGAAGAAGGATGGGGATGTATGGAGACTGAAGGAAAACCATAACTACTACCACCAAGTTATGATGCAGCTTGCCGTGACAGGTCTTACCTGGTGTTATTTCTTTGTGTGGCACTGTGATGAGAGCCATTTGGAGGTGATTACCTTTGATAATGAAGAGTGGCAGGAAATGAAAAACAAGATTGATTCATTCTGTTTTGACTACTTCCTTGGATAAAAACAATCTTTGAAACTTATTTTTAAGATACTTTTTTATCATGCACAGTAAAACAAACTTATAGCAAATACACTTTTAATGAAATGATGACTAACAAATTCACACATACAGCAAATTGATTTCTTTTCCCTGTGGTTTTGAAACATACTGACAAATATTACAAACAAATTTGAAACAAAGCAAACTTAGTAGTCCCTGCAGTTTTGTTATAAGCATGTTTTACTGTACAGCTATATTAAAAACAGAGGGCCACATAGCTTACTGAATAAAAGCTGAATAGAGGATATGTTATGTATATATAAAACCCTTCCTTATCAAAAGAAGTAAAAAATTATCTTGAGAAAAATAACCAATATACCGTGTTCAGCCGAAATCAGATTAATCAACAATAAAAACAGTCATTGTAAGAATTTAATTACTAGTTGACATCATAAATATCATAGCAGTTTACACACTGAACTCAAAACTCAACAGTCCAAATCTGATTTATTGTACCAGTCATACTCAATGGGATGACACCATCAAAGAGATGGTATTCTTTGACCCTACGAATATGTCGTTCAATGTGTATTCTTAGCTTTGCAATAATTTGTGTTTGTTCTACCTCCTGCTTTGAAAACTGACCTTGGCTAAGAAGAAAGGGAGGGGTGTTGACAGAAATACCTGTACCTTCTAATACCTTGTTCAGCACAAACCCTTTGTCAGCCATAATTGAGTCACCTTCTTCCATAAGATCAAGTAGGCCAGATAATTTTGTTATTTCGACGTCTGACATGCACCCTGTGTATAATGAGGACACAAAAGTGAGAGCTCCATGAGGAGCGATTCCTACAAACCCTTTCCATGTGTGTGTGAACTTTTATATGTTGAATAACATTTCGACCCAAGTGCTAAGGATGATGGACGCTCAGTTTTAATCTCTGTGCAGTCAATTATGACTCTAGTTGAGGGGTAAAACAACTTGAAGGACTGGGGCATTTTTTCATAAACATGTTCCTTACTAGGCCAGATATTTATGCTGCCTAAAATAAAATAAAGAAAGTTTGCCCATGTTATGATCTTTCGACTAACAGTAGAAACATGATATTGAATCTGACTCCTAAATCTTGTGCCATTAGACCACACTTCAACCTGCATAAGAACATGAACAACTCGTCAATTAACAACATGCTTCTTTGTTTGCCTACATTTACCTGCTGGTTAGGTTTATCACAATATTTATATTAATAGATTTTCATACATGTTGCAGTAGGTTTGATGTATTCAAAAAAAGCTAAAAACATAGATATTGTAGTAAATCCTGTGTAAAATCGAATCATTGAATCGTCATTTGAAAACCGCTGAATTCCAAATCGTTCAACCTCAATCTTCTGTTGTAGAGTCTTGATTTCCTCATCCCTCTTCTGCAACAAATTTTCTAATTCTTGGATTCTCTTATTCTTCTCATGTATTTCATCAGGAGGAGGAGAACTAAAATCATGAGATTTTTTTTAAAGAGACTCTGCAAAAATTATATTAGTACATGAAAAAAAATCATACCTTACTGACATGATGACCAGCATTCTAGAATCCATTTCCTCAGGTCTCAAAACATGATCCTCAAATTCCTGCTTTGGTCTTTTCTCTGGGAGGGTGTGTTTAACTATTGGGCGTCGACTGTTGGTATCTGCCTTCCAGGAGAAAACTGAGGGTACCGATCCAGGTTTCAACGTTGTCCTCACTGGAGTCCATTTAATATCTTCCTTTTTAAAATGGCGAAAGCAGACAACTGTTTGATCACTTATCTGAATAATTATAATGAAATGAATTTTACACTGAAATATTACTTAGATGACATAAACTAGATGCAGTAAGCATTTTGGAGCATATTACATAACTTTAAGCAATATAAATTAAAAGATGCATCTAGGGATATCAGATGGTGAACTGGTTAATGATACTTGATAACAGTAAGATACTGTAAATACATGTAGCCTAATCCTAGGGCTATGTGATTTCTTTTTAAGTTAAGAAACTAGGGTACCAATCTTCACATGTAAAACACTTTCATTATTTAATATTTATCTACTAACGAACTTTCATACTAGATTTAGCATTTTTATTTTGATTACAGAAAGTTATGCAAAAAGGTTTAGCTGACATTGAGCTCAACATGAATAAACAGCTGATTAACTTGCATTAGTCTACTCGATTTACATGCCTCTGCATCAGATGACATTCATTGCATAGTATGTCATTCCAAAGATATTCTGACAAATATATGAAAATATTTTATTAACCAAGGGATAATACATATCTGTTTATATAAGTGCAGATCACTGATCAGTTTGTATCGATATTGTTTACGTGTTCTTGAAACACGTATCGGAAGGTCACTCACGGTAAACAGAGGACCAGGGTCTCTCCTAATCGCTTGAATCCACTCCTTTCTCTTTTCTGGAGCCTTTGGTATCCGCTGAAAGGATAAATCTGGGTTAAGCCTTCCATTTCCATTACAGAATAGCACACAAAAGTGCTTGTCGTGACCCTTCCCTTCCTCTTCAGCCGCCGACATTTTGTTTACAATTTTACCGACCTTAGCCTCGTTTTCGATTTCTGAGCGCGACTTATGAATATTCTTTGAAAATGGAGTATTTCTGACGTTTTGTCAGTATATACTTGTTTTATATTCATATGAAGCAGAATTAGTGCAAAATCTTATGCGTGAAAAGAAGAAAACACTTGCTGTGGCCTTCAACTCAACATTTAGATATATCGATGACGTCAATTAACAATGGTGATTTCCATTCCTACGTCGATGCGATATATCCTGGTGAGCTTGAGATAAAAGATACCACAGAGTCTGACACATCTGTTTCATACTTGGATATTTTACTTGAAAAAGACGTTAATGGTAATCTAACAACCAAGCTGCTTTAGTACTATGATAAACGTGATGACTTGAACTTTTCTATCGTCAACTTCCCTTACTTATGCAGCAATATACCTTCGTCACCTGTATACAGAGTGTATATATCTCAGTTGATTCGATACGCAAGAGCTTGCTCTACGCATGAACAATTTCTTAAACGAGGTAAATTATTGACAAGCAAGTTGATGAAACAAGAATATCAGCCGTCCCATTTAAAGTCATCATTTCGTAAGTTCTACGGTCGATACAATGACCTTGTCAGCAAATACAATTTATCATCCCTTACCGAAAATATTGCCTTCCTGCAAATATTTGCTGCAAGTCTTCAGCAAACATTGCTGCAAGCTTGCGGCGACGTAGCCAAAGAAAGCATGACAGTCTATAGAAAGCCTTGGTGTTTGCAGCAAGTCTGCAGCAAGCTTGCTGCAAACATTTTACCATGCAAATGAGGTTTGCTGCAAGTCTGCAGCAAACACTGGATTTTCCAAATATGGAAACCTTGCTGCAAACATTGCTGCAAGCCTGCCGCAAACATTGCTGCAAGCTTGCGGCAAACATTGCTGCTAACTTGCAGCAAACAATTTCCTTGTGGTTTTGGCACATTCCTGTGTACAAGTAGCAAGTTCGCAGAAAGCTTTTGTCCTGACCTAAATCTGTTAATTTTAGAGAAAATCCACCACAAGTTTCTGAAATGATGCAATTTTATGACGTTTTGATAGGCTCTCTTTATGTTCTTAGACAAAGTTTTCATACTTTTTAAAAATTAAATTAAAGTGCATTATAGCTTTTTACATGAACAGAACATTAAGAACTTTACATATATTTTTTTTTGAATATTACCATGATTACACAGCAACTAATTAATTTGAAAACATTTAACTGATTTAGGTCCATTAATACATTTAAGAAGTATACATATATTAGATATTACAGGGTAAAAGAGGACTGAAATTCACAATAAATAGATTTAGATTTGGCATAGCGTTTACACAAGTTACTCAAACATGCTTTTAGGAAATATTCTTTTAAATATCAAAATAAAACAAAATCATTTCTTACAAGTTAGATATCATGGATGCCAATGAACACCTACATCCAGAGTTTGACACTTTTAATCATTCAAAATGGTGTATATTCCTAACAAAATACAGACGTGTACAACTAGTACTTCAATTCAAACATTTCAAAATGGCCAGTTCTGTGTTGACCCCAGTACAATCTGCATTTCATTGGCTGATTTGACTTATTTACTGTTCTTGCGAACTTCCTGCAAACATTCGATTAATGAAATGTTTCCTGCGAACTTGCTGCGAACATCAAATTGGCGTGTATGTTTCTTGCAATGTTCCTGCAAACATGTTGGGTTCCTGCGAATTTGCTGCAAGCTAAGAAGAAATAACGCTCTGTACAAAACTGTTCAAATAAATGAAAACGTTGATACAGTAACAACCTGTCAAGAGGAAGATGAAGATTTATGGCATATCTTACAAATAGAAGAGAATGATGATCAAATGAGACAATAGATTCAGAAAGTATCGATATCACTGAAGAAGAAAAATCGATGATTCTGTAGAAAATCAAGTCCAAGGCTTCAGTTTGATACATGTCCACATTCATTCAATTTTGTTCATATTGGTGTGGAGTCTTACAGTATCGCCCCCTGGAGAAGGAGAAATTCCCCGCAAATGTTTCTGCAGATGAAATTTGTGAAGCACTAGCTTCTCCTGTTTGTTTTCCGTATGGAAAAGGAACATTTTCAGACATTAAGGAATTATCCTAGAAATCAACCTGTAAAATATTGCTTTACTCAAAGACTTGCCAATGTTGACACAAGATTTGATGATCCTTCCTGTGGAGCTATTACACGTCAAACATAAAACATACCACCTTCAAAGTATCCAAATGGAACTCCTATCTTGCCAATAGAAGTTAAACAGCATGTGGGCATAAAAAAAATAATCACCAGAAATAACCAGAATTCAAATTCCCCTGTTTTTTTGTGCTTTGCTTGTACCATAATGTTCAGGAGAGTGCACTGTTGTTTTATTTATTGTCAATATTCGAACACCAGGAATGATTTATGTAGCCCTCAGCAGAGTTACATGTACTAATAGAGAGCCTATATTTATTGGACTTACACGAAAACACCATTGAGGTATCCGAAGCAAAAAAGATGAGACGAAGCGTCTACAAACAAATATGAAATAATAAATTGTGAGGAGTTTGTTACAAGAACAAAATCCAAATCATTTGCGTATCTTGTGGCTCAACACTCGATCACTGCAGCATATAAGAAAACCTATCCTCAACACTCGATTACTGCAGCATACATGTATAAGAAAACCTATCAACAGTGATCCATACATTGGACTAGCAAATATTATAGCCTAGCTTCACTGAAACATGGAAAAAAACTCAAGACAGATTAATTAAACGTAACGGGCAGTGATGGGTCTTTTTATACCCCCGCTCCGAAGGAGAGGGAGTATACTGTTTAACCCTTATATGTCTGTCCCTCCGTAACAAATTTTTGGTCGCAGTTTTCTCAAAACTACTCATCGCAAATTTATGCTTGAAATTTTAACACATTCTTTGCCAAGGCATGTTATATGGTGGGATACATTTTTATACTCCCGCTCCCAGGGAAAGGGAGGTAAACTGTTTTCCCCTTGTGTGTGTCTGTCCGTAACAAATTTTTGGTCTCAGTTTTCTCAGCAACTACTCATCGCAGATGCTTGAATTTTTAACACATTTTTTTCTGAGGCATAGCGTGTGATGGGATTCATTTTTTGGTTCAAATCCGATGTCAAATTCCTGTTTATTCGTGAGTCTGTCCGTTTCGTGCATAACAAATTTCCATCGCAGTTTTCTCAACAACATTACTGCTCATCGCAGATGCTGTCCGTTTCATACATAACAATTTTTTTTGCAGTTTTCTTAGCAGCTACTCATCATAGATGCTTTAGATTTTAACACTTGTCAATCATTTCGTGTCGCCCACGTGGCGCAGTGGTTAAGAGCGTCTGCTCTAGAGTCGCGATGTGACTTCTTTACCACTAATCTGATATCATGTGACAGTTGATTTTACGTGTGTCTAAATTTGATGAAAACTATTATATCTTTATCATGATCAAATAGCTTGTCTCGTCTCCTAGAATTATTGATTGTATACTGTTTGACTTCCCGTTCGAGATTTTTTCACTCCAATATGTATATAGAGACATCACCGTTTGTGGGTGAAGGGCCTCAAATTTAGATTTATACTCTGCACTCAAGGCCATTGAGCAGTGGGGGTTTCCTTATAATGCCAACGCCTACCGTGACACGGAACCTGGTTTTTAAGGTCAAATCCGAAAGACCCGCAACTCTCACTTCTAATGCCGAGTGCTTGGCGACGTCTTAGGTTTGACGCTGCGTCGCGAACGAGAATCGAACCCATGCCTCCCGTTCACCAAGCGAACGCTATACATGTACCTCTAGGCTACCGAAAGCGGTCCTAGAATTATTAAAGAGTAAAAAGAAAGATAGTATTATTAGTATTATTTTAAAAAATGATCTCATTATATATGCATGGACTTAGTTGATAAAAAAAAATGGTAGCAACTGTTCCTACACCACATTCTCGGCACCTTGAAGTGAAAGTCGCGGGTCCTTCCAGTGAGACCTTTAAAACGTTAGTGAGGCAATGGATCTAAAGTGTACTTATAAGGTCAATAACAGAATTTATATTAATACGTCAGATAAAAATTCTTTCATAGTTTTTATGGTCAGGTAGACCTTTTAAAGACAGATGAAAGAAAACGGGACTTAAATAATGTTTTTCTTTAGATCAAATTCTTTAAAGGCCTATGTTGGGGGGGGGATGTTTGACTGAACCAAGAAGCAAAAGATTTTTTTCTTCATTACGAAGGATGTGATTTCTGCTTCATATGAATAAAACAGCCTAAATGGGCTGCGCTAATACTTGAACATGTATTTGTATTTTACTTAAACACTGAACCAGTAACATCTATTCCTCAATTCTCTAGGTCCTTCGGATGAGACCGTATAACCGAGCTCCCGTGTCACAGTAGGTGCTGGCATGAAAAAGATCTCTCCCTGCTCAATGGCTCTGAGTGCCGAGTATAGGACACAATTTGCAGCTCTCCATCGGCAAGTGGTGGCGTCTTCATATGAGTGAAAAATTCTCGAGTGGGACGTTAAAGAGTATAATCAATCAATTCTTAGATCCATCCATTTCCTTAATGAGAGGACTCATGTGATTGAGAGCACAATCAGTGTAAATGAGCAGGCTTCATGACTGTAAAGTTGTGGTTAGTATCTCACTGCATTGACTTTACACAGTTTTATCACACACAAACCTCTTGACCATGTCAAAATGATCTTTGTTCAAATTCATTGCAAAGTGTATCGTTAGAGCGTTAAAGTACCGTGTTCTTGATCAAGATCTTGGTGACCATAAAACGTGAATATGGATAGATCAAAGAGTGAAACACAATGCGTTCACTGAACTCTAACAAAGGATGCAAAACATTTTTGATGGTTAGAGACATCAACCACGCTAACTTGAAGGTTATTAATCTTTCTAAATATATACCATCACAAAATAATATTTGAACAATATTTGAAGTAGATGATGTAAA